CTAAAAATCCTTAGCGCCTTCTCAAAATATGATAACAATTCCAATTTAATTGTTTTACTGCAAACCTTCTTAGATGTAGAAGTTAAGTCTTCCAATTCCTCAAGAGATTCAGAGGATCGCTTAGTAGATGATGTGTTCATTACACTCTTGGATTTTTTAATTGTAGAATCAATGAATGAAAGCTGCACATATTTATAATATTATCTTACAAAATTAAGATATATCTTAAAATTTGGTTAACAAATTTTGAAAATATAATTACCTTATCACCAGAAACAAATGAGGCAGGCTGGTAAATCTGGCTACAGGGATGGTCTACAGTTTCATTTTTGATTAGGTCGTTTCCTACCCTAACCCTAGAACATTTGTATATTGAAGAAGCGTAGAATACGTATTCCTTCCCAATACAAAATTCAAACTGGTAAGTTTTACCAACCAAGTCAGTAATAGCTGAAGGCAAGTCCGTTGGATTTTCAATCTGAAACAAAAATAGCAAAACCGTTAATCAACTTCTTTATATGGCAAGGATCATCATAATTTTACTATATTGTCATACCTCTTGTAATGAACAACTAAGGAGTCGAGAAGCAGATACTCCTACAATTGCTTCTGCAACTGTATCAAGCAACATAATTTTTGACTTCTCTTTTTCGTCCATTACCAAAAGATGCAACTTAAACCTTTATTATTTTAAAAATACTGATAAGGAAATATTAATATATATTCATACATATATTTTAGAGAAAATGCTATTAAATAACCTAAAATGATAAAATAATGTAAAATGGGTATAAGGAAAAATTGTGAAAATAACCTCTTTTTACGATTTTTATAAATAGCAGCGCTACCTTTCTAACTACTGTTATTTGTAAACTAATGATGGACTAATGGCACACTAATGGCACACCGAATGCAGACTACTGGCAGACGGATTGGTCGAATAGTTGAATGTAGACTACTGACAGGCTAATGGTAGACTAATTGTGAATTACTGGTAGACTAATAGCAGACTGAAAGCAAACTAGTTGACCCCTCTTATGGAAGGGTCATGTTTCTAATAAAATGGTCAAGTGGGATATTTTAAAAATTATCCCTATATTTATAGGTAAGCTATAGAAATAGATCTTTGGAAGGGTTAAAATAATACCTATGAGTTTCATATAATAGTGTAGAATCAAAGAATAGACGTAACAAAACTGATACTCTTTTCACATATTTCAAGACTTTTGCTTAAATTTAATAAGGACTTCCCATATTTGATTATGAACAATACCTTGGTTGGACATTATTAGCAATCTTTTCACATGCAGATCAGTAGAAAGTCGGTTTAGCATAAGTCTTTTCTCGATGGTTCAAGTTTCCTTTGGCACTTGCTACACCTAAATTAATACCAGGAATAGTCCGTATCATTAGCATAAATGGTACAAACGACTTTACATTTTTCAATCTGAAAAAACACAATTAAAATTTTAGTAGTATTATTGACTTTCGTACATATCTTAAGTTATATTATATATAATTTTAAATGTTAACTTACATCAACTGAGGCTCTGACATCTTTCAAAGTCCGGCTAGGAAGCATATCCCAATCAATTTCATTGTTCATAGGAATGTAAATTTCTTCTTTAGGATTAAGAATAGTTAAAGCAAGTCCATCTTCTGGCAAACTGGAAAATCAAAATCATTTCACCTATTCTTAGTGAAACTTATATAACAATCATAATTATCTATATTATTAAAATGAAAGTTCTTACTGACGTTTTCTGGAATTCCTCAACTTCAGGTAAGGGAGCGTTAATCAGCATCTTTGAGGAGTCAAATGCATTTGTTATTTGAAGATCTCCTACAATATATGACACGAATAAAAAGATTACTAACAGAAAACCGTTACTATTTATTCTACTACATATAGTATCTTGCGATTAACACGTTTTACATTTGTAGATGTTAACTTTTGCAAACCTTAACAAACAAACAACCATTTCATCAGAACCTTCAACACACGCTGAGCATATCTGCTCAGAAAATCTGCCCCATAAACAACAAGTGATACGTTCATCCCTAGAAAAAATCTGATAGTTAGAACCCACTTTAGAAATTGGAAAATAAATAACTACATATAGAATTTTCATTATCTTACCAGGAATCTCTTAAAGAAAACTCAACTTTTTTCCTTTCTTTCCCACCAACATGAACATGTTTAATTTCACCCATATCAACAACTTGCCCTATTACATCTGGATAACATAATATATATATATATCAGTTAATTTATGCGATTGAATAAAGTAAAATAACGATTGAAAGTTGGATCCATGATCTGATCAAAACTGGTCAATGATAGAAACAAATCATCTACTTTTTTCGATGACCGTGTCAATGTTGTAGAGTTAGTGAAACTAATTTTATATTCATGACTCGTAGTTTTATATTGACCAGAAGTTGGAGCTAATGAAAAATTCTCAATGACTTTCCACGCTCCAACAGGAAGATGTTCTTTCAACCTTGTAAATTAATGCTTTTCTGCAAGAAGCATGAATCTTTACACTCTATATAATAGAAAAAAGAAAACTCTCCAGCTTGAGGTAGGTATTGTTTCCAAGAATGCAGAACTTTAACCTCAACTCGCCAACTAGATTTGAATGGTTTGACATCTTTAAAGTAGGTGATTCCTGTTGACACCATTCAAGAGAAGAAGGTGTTTGGAGAGGAAAAATGATAAAAAATGATATGGTGAAAAGTTGATGGTAGGCTACATTTGTATAAATTTAGGTTTAGGTTTAAATGTAGATTAAGAACACAATCTTGGTTGTTATGTAAATTACGATATTTAGGAGGAATTGATTGATTATCATAAAAATAAATGAATTAGATATAATCTTAATATTTGGTTGCACATAGAATATGATATGAATCAACGAATCGTTTTCCTTATTAACGGTATATTCTTCAGATTTTAGAATAAATTATAGTAATAGTGATATATATAATTTTGTATTATTGTTATAGTCTTATATAGTATTTTAAATGGTATTGATTGTACCCAAGATATGGGTTTATATCAACAATAGGTTACTTATTTTGAAAACGGATTTATTTCATGACCAATCAGTTAATATATTGTTATTGATTTGATTTCCTGTAATGTACCAGAAGGGATACAAACAATTAAACCGGAAGAATTAAATCAGGTATTGGATCAAACAACAAAGAATTATCTTACACTGGTTTACAACAGTTTCGTATCGGGTTATGCTCCTAACCAATACCCAATCTTATAAGAAAACATATTTACATTATGTCAACAATAAAACTCTTTATATTGTTGTCACTAGGTATTTACCCGCGCTATACTGCGGGATATTTTTTTAAATTTTGTATATATTTTTAATATAATAAAATTATTATTATAATGTAAATGAGTATTATATATTTTTTATTAGTTTAAGTTATGTATTTATATTAAGTTATGTATTTCTATGTTTAAATCTGAAAAAACATTATATACTTATTTATTTTTTAAAATTATAATTTGTTATTAAATTTAGTTAGCTAACTAATTACAAATGTATATATAGGAATAAAATATATAAAAATAAAGCAATACATTTTTAGTACCTTCATGCTAATGGTAAATGTAATCTATTTTCTCCATTAAACTGCTATTTGATCCTCATTTGTAATTATATAAAGCAAAATGCCATTTAAAAAAAAGATTCATTAATTAATATAATTATTTTGAATTATAAAATTTATTTATATATCAAATATTTTATTATAAACATATGTTTCTAAAACTACCAAACTATAATCAATAACATTCATACCAAAACTATTGCTATTGCTTTAGAACTAAATATAAAATTATGTTTGAACTCTTAAAATATCGTTTAGTTAAAGTTAAATAATTAAATTTTGATTACTGTAAACATACTTTAACTTGGAAATTTGGCACAGAGAAATTTCATCTTCTTACAAAAATCGAGAAATCGCATTTCTGTCGAAACAAAAAATTTCATTTTCCCATTAAACTGAGAAATCACCTATTTCCGCCAAAACCAAAAAATTCATTTTCTTTTCAACCCTGAAACCTAAAATTTCATTATCCCGCGAAAATCTGTGTTTTTCCACCAAATTCGAGAAATTACGTTTTTCACAAAAACCAAAAAATTTCATCTTCCTGCAAAAACAAAAAAAAAATTGTATTTTCTTGCCAAAATCAAAAAAAAAAAATTTCTGCAAAAACTGAGATAATCGTCTATTTCTGCTAAAACAAAAAAAATATATTTCTCGTGAAAACCAAAAAAAGCCAAAAATCACGTTTTTCTACAAAAAAAAATAAACTATAATTTTCCGCGAAAACCAAAAATTGTATTATCTCCCGTGAAATTGTATTTTCCCGCGAAAATTAAGAAATTGTTATGTTTTTATTATTATTTATTTGTTGTTATTTATTATTTGGATTTGGTTTTGGCAAAAAAAAAAAGAAAACAATGATTTATTTTTTTATTCATTATTTGGGTTTGCATTTGGTAAAAAATAAAATAATAATTTTTTATTTGCTGATATTAATTATTTGGGCTTGGGTTTGGTAATAAATAAAACAAAAATTAATAAAATAATATTTGGGTTTTCAATGGGTTTAAGTTTAAGAATTAAAATAAGTAGATGAGATGTATTAATAAAATGTTTTGATTGGTGATTATTTTTGCTGAGGTATCATGTTTATAAAGCTTCAAAAAGTTGAGGTGTCAAGCTATGGAGAGACTTTAGTGTTATTGTTGTGTTGATTTATGTTTCCAGCTTCTTTCAATTCATGACCAATCCGTTAATATATCGTTCCTGAAAATGATTTTCCTCTAGTTCCGAAAGTGAAACAAATGACTTGAACCAAAACGTTGAGCTCCGAGTACGAAAACCATTATTGCAAATTGAAACAGTTTGTGGCTAGTATACATTATAGGAACGATCAATTAAAATCATGGCAAATGTGTCGCATATCAGTAGCAAGTATAGCGGTCTAGATATGTGTCTTGCAGAATTATTGGAGTGCACGTAAGCTGACAAGATTGTGAAATCCTAGACATAGATTTTAACTCGTCCATCATCTCTTCATTATCTTCTGGATTGTTGATTGCAACTCGTTTTAAACACCTAGAGTTGGCAAGAATGTAGCTCACAAGTTCCTTCTCTTGGCTTCTTCCTCCATATCTTTTCCATTAAAACATCTCGAGATGGTTTAACAAGCATTTGGGAACAGAACTCGGATGGTTCCAAGAAAGCGTGAAATCCTCTCTTAGATAGATCTGGTAAGATGCAAGAGATATTAACAAGGGAAATATACTTTAATATTTGGTCCATCAAAATTGTATGCGTTTGTTTGAGGTAAGGGAAGAGTACGAACCCGGTCGATAAGAAGCATTTTTAGTTTGGGACAATTTTGAACAAAAACCATAAGTGGTTCCAAAGGTTGTATCTCACACACTATCAGTTGAAAGAAATTAATGGTGGTAAAACACACAACCTGTAATAAACATAATTGTTAGGATAAAGCTTGGATCTTTGGACTTGTTTATGCGGAATCTCTCACTTCTCTCTTAGTTTGATCAATCACTCGTGTGTTTAAGAACAGAAAAGTAAATAAGACACAGAGTTTATCCAGTTCACGTTCCAAACCAGAAACGCTACGTCTGGCCGAGATGATCTCTCGGAAATCCACTAGAAAGCACTTGGTTACACAAACCCGTAGAGACTTGGTTACACGAACCCTTAGAGACAATCTCGCCTCTCTTGCGCACACTTGCACACTCTCTCATAACCCTAATGTCTCAGCCGAAGACTCCTTTTATACAACTCTTCTCAGCCACACTCATGTCTCTCTCTCTCCGTACTCTGTTTCTTTAATTACAGAGGAAGAAGACAAATTGGTTCTGCTTTTGGCTCAAGATTAATTACTCCTTTTGCTCTTTGGGACTTGTAGAACGAAAACACATAAGCGCTACTTGTGCTTCCTTGCTTCTTCAAATATCTGAAACCTTCTTCTTGGGATAGAGTCTTCTTTGACACTTAGGCAGTACTTCACAAAACTCCACCTTGCCGTAGTGTCAACCTTCTTCTCCTTTTCTTTTCCTTTCTAGTTTCTTGGATTTCCATCTCGGATCCTGATCATCTGATCAGTACTTTGTAAACATGAGCATCTCCTTAACATAGTGGAGATTGCTCCTGCTGAAAACTTTAAAGTACCAAATTTGGTACCTTTCCTTAGCCCCTGTGTGATCCCTTCAAAACTCTTCTGAAACACAGAGATACTTGACTGTTATACTCTTCTGAAACACATAGATACTTGACTGTGTTATAATATTGTGAGAGTCACAAAACACGTCACTTGGGTCTTGTATAAGACCCTCTTCATTCACCAACCGTCTTGACAAAACTGTCACTTCCATGGCTTTCATTAGAGCCATATATTCAGTCTTTGTTGTATCTGATACAGCCCCGGCCCAACATAAAAATTTTATTGGTTATTTATTATTAATAAATAAATATTTTTAAAAAATTGAACCTTCATTATGAGTGTTTTAAAAAAAAAATGGGCTCCTTTTATATCTATTTTCAAAGAATATGAGCCCTTTTTTACATGTGATTTTGTGAAAAATATTATGGGCCCCTGGGCCATGGCACCTTTGCCCATCCCTCTGGGCCGGGCCTGATCTGATACAACCAACTTCTACAGATCAATTGTCCAGCTTATTGTGCTTCTTGCAACTGTAAACACAAACCTCTGAACAACCTTTCTTTCATAAGAACCTGCAGCAATCCCTGAATTGAAAACTCCTCTCAACCCAGATTTTCCTTGTTTTCTGAAAATCAGACTTTATTCTACTGAGCCCTTGAAGTTCCTCTTCAACCATTTCACTGATTTCCCTTGTTCTTTTCCAGAACGACTTGTCACGCTAACTGAAACAACAAAATCCGCTCTTGTGCCAATCCTGACACACTTCTCTCTGTCAACAACTCTTGAGTGTGACACAAATTTCAATTTTGCAGCATGATCTCTTAGCTTGTCTTTTGTAGCTTTTCTAAGCGCTGATTGTATTACCAATGAAGTAAAAACAAACTTACATTGATCTCTTCTGAATATTCCCTCTGTTTTAATCCTATATCCTCTCTGAGACAGCCTGAAATCTTCTTCTTTTCTGCCTTGATGCATCTCCATCTTTGTTTCTTTGAAGCATACATACATATCGGACTTGTTTCTCACAAGAACAGCTTGAATCATGAATGTGTAAACCTTCAGATTCCATGACCACACTGACTGCTTCAACTCATGAACAATTTTCTTAAAGAGAAAGACTTTCTCTTTCAAGTTCTTCCCTTGAAGCACCAGAATATTCATCTTTAATCTTTCTTGTATAAGAACTGTTTTTAACTCCAGCTTCTTTAGATAACAGTCAAGTTCTTCTACTTGTGAGTGATCTTTGATCAGTAACTTAACTCTGAAACTTGGTTTTCCAGTACCTGAAACATGTGGTTTCCTATTGTAGATCCCCTTGCATCCTATTGACTCTTGACTCATGAGTTTCTTCCACGTTTCAAACTGATGCACCCACTGAAAATTTCCATTTTCTGCAAAATTAACAAATTTACAGTTTGGACCTTTCTTCTCTTGTTCAAAACTAGTTGGCTCTAGAATTTCTCCACCTTCAGCTCTAAACCGAACTGCCCCAACTAGCCTTGACCTTTCTTCTCTTCTGTTAGGCTTAACCTCTTTTATGACCTGATCCTTTTGCAACTTATCACCCTGAAGATTTGTTTCAATCTTCTCTGTTTCACTCTCTTCTGTTTCTGAATCTTCATTCTGCAATAATAGCTTTGAAACGCATTTCCCTTGCCTTGTGGAGCTGTTCTTCTCTTGATAATCTCCACCTTGAATGGAAGATCCATCTGAAACTGAATCTCTTATGAGATGTGAGTTACTTCTTTGATCTTCATCTTCAATCTGATTTGAGTTTTGCTTCTTCAGGTTCAACTCCTTATATTTCTTGTCTTCTGCAACATCCTTGCCTGTGACACATTTTTCTTCATCCAATAACCAGATTCTGTAACTTTTATATTCATCACAATATCCAATGATTATACCCTTTTTCATTCTTGGATTTTCTTTCCCTTGATTTGAGTGTAAGTGTGTTACACAGCCAAATCTCTTAAGGTTCTTGTAATCTGGTATTGATCCTGTCCACCTTTCTTCAGGAATATCAAACTTTGCAGCTGATGATGGTGATCTGTTGATCAAGAACACTGCAGTTGCAGCAGATTCAGCCCAGAAAACTTCAGACAAGCCTGATTCATCCAACATGCTTCTCACCTTCCTCATGATAGTTCTGTTTAATTTCTCTGCAACACCATTTTGATCTTGTGGTGATGCACACGCCTTGTGCCTTGAAATTCCTTCTACTTTGCAGAATCTATCAAGCTCTTGATTGCGACACTCAAGACCACTTCCTGTCCTTAGCTCTTTGATCTTCTTTCCACTTTGATTTTCCACCAACTTCTTCCACTTTTTGAATATACCAACAGCTTCATCTTGTTTCTTCATCAAATAAATCCACACTTTTCTTGTGTATTCATCCATAAAGCTTATGAAGTATTGGTTGCTTCCCAGCGATTTTGGTGTTGATGAAGAACCTCATATATCTGTGTGTATGCATTCAAGTTTCTGTGTGTATGCATTCAAGTTTCTGTGTGTATGCATTCAAGTTTCTGTGTGGTTGCAGGTTTAATTGAATCAAAATTGTTACCTTGAACCCTTTCTTGTTTGCAGTCTTCACAAAACTCTAACCCTTTGATCTTGTCAGTTTGAAAACGTCTTTTATTTGCCAAAATATCAAGTCCTTCTTGACTTAGATGACCCATCTTCTTGTGAAAACTTCTTGTCTCAACCTGATGCTTCTTTACTGCATCTGTTTCAGCACCGATGGCTTTTCCCAGCAGCAGATACATGCTTCCTTTTCTCTTAGCTTTAAGCACTATTCTGCAGCTTCTTATAACCTTTAATATGCCATCTCTTGATTTGAACCAGCACCCTTCTTCCTACAAAACCCCAAGAGAAATGAGATTTTCTGATATGTCAGGAACATATCTAACATTCTGCAGAAGAAAACTTGTGCCATCTTCACTCTATATCTTGACAGTTCCAACTCCCTTAACCTGAGAAAGTGTATCATTTCCCATTCTTACACTTCCTCCTTCTCTGTCTGAAAACGTTTCAAACAGCTCTCTTCTTGGTGTCATATGAATTGTACAACCTGAATCAAGGATTCACCTTTCATTTTTGTCTTCACTTGTCTTGAAGCTTGCTTCTGAGACCAAGAGCAAAACGTCATCCTTGTCACATATTGGAAAGAAAGAACTTTTAAGAGTGATGGAGAAGGTGTTTAAGAACTTGAAAGACAAAGGAACAAATTTAAGAAGAAGAAAGTTTTAGAACTTAGAGAGCTTAAGAACTTCACTTAACTTCTCTTATTATTTCTTTTAACTTCTTGGTTACAAAATAACAGAGGAGGTAGCTATTTATAGCCTCCAAAATACAAAATATCTAAAATATTTTATTCCTAAATCTAGAGAATTCTATCTTAATATCTAGATTATTTTACAACAATTATCTAGAGAAATCTCTAGATATTTATTCTCTACAACTCTCTAGAACATTTAAGGAGGTGGAGGTGTTGATTTTTCTAGAGAAAACTCTAGAATCTTTGATTAAGCATAATTGGGTTTTGGCCCAATTATTATTGGATCATTAACCCAATATTTAAACTTGATCCAAAATCAAGTTTATCTTCCAACACCCCCTCTTAAACTTGATTTTGCAACTCCAAGCAAACTTCTCATCTTGATAAAGGCTTCACGCTTAAGTGGCTTGGTAAAGATGTCGGCTACTTAATTGTTAGTCTTCACGTACTCTAACTGCACATCCATCTTGGTGACACATTCTCTAATGTAATGATAGTGAGTGTCGATGTGCTTACTTCGATCATGGAAGACGGGATTTTTTGCCAAAGCTATTGCTGACTTGTTGTCCACAAAGATCTTCGTTGGCTCCTCTTATGGCAAACTCAACTCCTTTAATAATTTTCGCAACCAAATAGCGTGGCAAACACATGAAGTATCTGCTACATACTCCGCTTCACAAGTGGAAAGGGTGACAATCGGTTGCTTCTTCGACATCCATGTGAAAGCTGTTTCTCCAATGAAAAACACAAAACCACTTGTACTTTTCCGATCATCTATGTCTCCACCCCAATTGCTATCGCTATATCCAACAAGCTTGTAATCATCAGAAATAGAGTAATACAAGCCAAAGTCTATCGTACCTTTGATATAGCGAAGGATCCTCTTAGCTGCCTTGAAGTGAGTGGTTGTTGGATGCTCCATGTATCGGCTCACAACTCCAACTGCATGTAATATATCCAGCCT